TCCAAACATGTTCCTTTATAATTTTCATATCTCTCCAATCTTGATAAATGTAACCATTCCCCAGGACAAAAACTTAAATGTCCTTGATTCTTGTCTGTCCTTCAACCTCAACAGCCAATCAGCAAGTCTTCACTTAAAAAACAATCCCCAAAACAATGGAGGGGGTAACAATGCTCAATAGGAAGTGTACTCATTACCTTACTCATGTAACTGTATAGTATCTTTACAATTAAAAAAAAAAAATCCCCAGGTTAAGGGCATAGCTCAAGTGGTAGGCAGTGTACCTGTCTAGCAAGTGTCAGGCCCTGAGTTCAAACTTCAGTACCATTTCTGCCTTCCATCCCCCACAAAAAGTTCCCCTTTACATTTCTTCTACCATCTCTAATTTGCCATCATTAAAAAAAAAAAAAAATCAACAGCCTTCTAACACTTCTTCCTTCTTTCCAGTTTCTTTCCTATAAATCACAGTGCTTGTGATCAAGAGCCAATTAAAAAAGCTTTTAAGGGGCTGAGAAGGTGGCTCAGTGATAGAGCATTTGCCTTGCATGCCTGAGGCCCTGGGTTCGATTCCTCAGCACCACATAAGCAAAAAGAAAAAAGCTGAAAGTGGCGCTATAGCTCAAATGGTAGAGCGCTAGCCTTGAGCTGAAGAGCTAAGGAACAGCGCCCAGGCCCAGAGTTCAGGCCCCATGACTGGACCCCAAAAAACAAACAAACAAAAAAAGCTTTTAAATGTTAAATAAGGGCTGGGAAGGTAGCTCAGTGGTAGAGTGCTTGCCTTGCATGCTGGAAGCCCTGAGTTCAATTCCTCAGCACCACATAAGCAGAAAAAACCAGAAGTGGCGCTGTGGCTCAAGTGGTAGAGCACTAGTCTTGAGCTGAAGAGCCGAGGGACAGTGCCCAGGCACAGAGTTCAGGCCCTACGACCAGCAAAAAAAAAAAAAAAAAAGTTAAATCAGAACTTGTCCACAAATTCAAAATTTTTACGAGGTTTCCCAGTACACTTTAAATAAAATCTGCATTCTGTACTGTGGTCAGCTTCAAAAGCTATGATTTGGCTTTTGCTGTCCCTCTCTTCCCCAAACCTCATTTACTTCTCTCCAGGTATTCTGGCCTTCAGACATTCCTTTAATACGTGAAGCTTGCTCTTCTTAGTCTTTGTATACATTATTGTTCATTATACCTGGGCGTAATTCTCCCACATCTTCCCTTCATATCCTTATACATCTCAAGTACCATCTACTCAATTAGAGAAATGTTCCTGATTAGATAGGCCACTTTCTATAAACCATCTAGCTTCCACAACTAGTATTATTTTTCTCCAGAATATTTATATTACTTGAAATTGTATCCTTCATTTAAAAAATATCAGTTCTTGCTTTCCTACAAAAAAAAAATAGTATGTTGCACAAGGATAAGAAATCTGTCTTCAATGCTAATCCCTAGTGTTTGGAACACAGAGGTGCTCAATGAATGTTAGCTGAATAACTAAACAGTATTTCACTTCAGAACAAATTATTTTTAGTTTAGATCTTCAAGAAGACTATTATTAAAAGTTATAATTAATGTCTAACTCCAAGAAACACTGAGAAAGGTAAGCAAAAAGTTAGAAATGGTTCCAACTTTCTGAATGTACCTGAGTAAATTTTACATGTAGAGTTTTACCTCCTATTTATCACCCTACCTCCTTTCAGTGATTCTTCCCTGTGCTCTTCTGTTGTCCTAGACTTCCATTTATAGTCCCTAAGTAGCTTCAGATATCCAGTTTCCAGCTCCCCTCTCTTACCCCCTTCTTTCTTTCTTCAATTATTGTCTCAACTTACAGTGGTCGATGCCTGTAATCCAAGCTGCTGAGGAGGTTGAGATCTGAGGATCATGGTCAGAAGCCAGCCTGGGCAAGAAAGCCCTTGAGACTCTTTTATCTCCAGTAAACCATCAAAAGCCAGAAGTAGAGCTGTGGCTCAAGTATTGTCTCTTGAGCAAAAAAAAGCTCTGGGACAGTGGCGAGGCCCTGAGTTCAAGCCCTAGAACTAGCATGTGAATGTGTATACACGCACACACAAGAATTTTTTTTGTAGGTCATGGGGTTTAAACTCTGAGCTTGGGCACTGTCCCTGAGCTCTTCAGCTCAAGGTGAGTGTTCTACCACTTGAGCTACAGAGCCACTTCCGGTTTTCTGGAGGTTAATAAGAGATAAGAGTTTCACAGACTTTCCTGCCTGGGCTGGCTCTGAACTGCGATCCTCAGATCTCAGCCTCCTGAGTAGCTAGGATTACAGGCATGAGCCACTGGTGCCCAACTATACACAAGAAATTTGATCAAGGTGCAATAATTTCCAATGAGAAAAATCGTTCAATCATCCTAGGCATTGGTGGTACACATTTAAGAGAGAACATATACTGAATTAATCTCTAATAGGTAGAATGGGAGGCATCAGAACAATGACCTAGAAAAACAGAGTGGACAGAAGCAACTTTTGGGGGTAAGGAAGTGAAAGTAAGGCAACCCCTTGGTCTTCCTTTGGGTCAACAACTTCACATGGTTTTCCCTCCTCAGTAGCTAGGATTGCAGGCATGAACCACCACCAACTCCTAGCTAAAACACCAGATTTTTATAGGTTGTATTTCAAATAGGTTTTGGGATTTTTTTTTTCTTATTAAGTTTATTACCCAGAACTAGGTTTGAAACTCAGGGCCTCACACTTTCTATACACACACACACACACACACACTATTGTAAAGATACTGTACAGAGGGATTACAGTTACATGAGTAAGGTAATGAGTACATTTCCTATCAAGCATTGTTACCTCCTCTTTTTTTTTTCCCCTACTATCCCTTCCCTTCCCACCTCCTCCCTCTGCGCACCCCCCCCAGTTGTAAAGCGTGTTTTCAATATAGTGTCTTGTACATCTCACTGTTACAATGGGTCAACCTGTATCCTTGTTTCAGCATTTTGTTATTTCCCTTCCCCTCCCCAAATTAGAAAAAATGCATATACAAGATGCAGGGCACCGGAATCAAGTACAGTGAAAACAGGGGTTATACCATGGAGGAGGAACACACAAAAGAATAAAAAAAAATCTCACAGTACATTAAAAACAACAGCGACAAAGATAAAACCTCTTGTATCCCTATCTTGGGGTTCATTTCACTTAGCATCATCTTATATGCTAATATGTACTCTGACCTTCTGCTTGTCTGGTAAGATTATCCTAGACATATACTAGTTATTGCAAATAAGGGAAACCATAGGGCCTATGTTTCTTTGGGTCTAGTTTACCTCACTTAATATATTTTTTTCCAAGCTTTTCCATTTCCTAACAAATGGAGCGGTGTCATTCTTTCTGATGTAGACATAGAATTTCATATATACCACATTTTCTTGATCCATTTATCTACTGAGAGGCATCTGGGTTGGTTCCATATCTTAGCTATGTGAATAATGCTGCAATAAGCATAGTTGTGCTGGTAGTTTTAGTATGGCCTTGTTTGTGATCATTTGGGAAAAATGCCTAAAAGTGGGGCTGCTCTATGTGTAGTCCTCCATACTGCTTTCCAAAGTGGTTGAACAAGTTTACACTCCCAGGGACACCTTCTAAGCAGAGAGTCTTATCAATTGAGACACTCGAATTTTATAAAACAAATTTGATTCCTCAAAAATAATACTCTAGCTGGGTGCTGCTGGCTCATGCCTGTAATCCTAGCTACTTGGAAGGCTGAGATCTGAGAATCGTGATTCAAAGCCGGCTGGGGGAGGAAAGTCCATGAGACTCTTATCTCCAATTAACCACCAGAAAATCAGAAGTGGTACTGTAGCTCAAGTGGTAGAGCACTTGCCTGGAGCTGAAGAGCTCAGCGGTTAGTCCCGAGGCAGAGTTCAAGCCCCACCACTGCAAAAAAAAAAAAGGAAAAAGAAAAAAAAGAGGACTCTTTGCCAAACTAGGGTAGTAAAGCAGTATTTTATAGCAAAAAAAAACATTTAATATTTAAAACCTGTATATTTAAAGGTCACTTTATCATTTATAGCTTTTAAAAACACTATCAGCTGAAAGAAGAGAGACTTCCTAAGTGGAGATACAGAGAAGATGGAAGGCAGGATATGTCCTTCAACAAAGAACCAGGTTAAAACAGTGTGGGTGTTACCATACAGATCTGTTTATGTCTACAGTGAAAGAGACTTGTAGCTTACAAAAAAGCCCCAGGTGACTCTAATTTCAGTGCCTGCAGACTTTAAAATCTGGGCCAGAAAGCAAGGTGAACCCAATTAAAGCCGTAACAGCAGAAATAAAGTGAGAAAAAAAAACTCACTGTGGTCACATTTACAAGATAGGAGAGCCTGGTGATTTATTAGATATCCTAGCTGGACAATTGAAGAGTAAAAGGGGATAACAGTTATGCTATTTAAAGGATTTTTTTAAGAATCCAGGAAGGGAAGTTGAAGGGTGTTTGTTTTCATACCGTTACAAGGATGACTTGAATCTTGGTTAGAGTGTGAGTATGAGGCATTTGGAATGTTCAGAAGGCCCTGGAGAATGTGGCCAGGTAATGGAGGCAGTGGTTGGGAATCAGGTTATCTTGGTGGCACCTGAAGCTTAAGAATGACTTTCTTGTTGGTCAAGACCCTAATACAAGACTCCCCCCGGCCCCCGCAACCATCAACTACTGGTTCTAATGTTGTATGGTACGGGTTCGCCAAGCCCATGAGTGAGAACCGTACGACCTGGCACAGGAGAGGAATTGGACCAGCTGATCAAGCCCGATCTCGGCCCAAGGCTACACAAACGATTAATTTCGAGAAGCTGGTGGACCTGCGCTTCCCCCCACAGCTCCGCGGTGCACAGATCTCCTGCCTGAGGAATGGGGGCTACAGTCTCAGAACTGATGTGCGAATCCCCAACCCAATCCGGCCAATGGGCCCAACAGGCGTTCTCAGGCCCCGGGACGGGTCCGCGAACCTTCCCTTCTTCCAGGGGATCCCACCAGGCTAATTTCACTCACCTCTCGGAGGGTCCAGCCCAGCATAGTCCCCGTATTCAGCCGGTCCACACTTAGGCCAGGTGACCGGAGGGAAAAAAAAAGAGGTCAGGAGCAGCCGCCGGTATTACATGGGCGCAGCCATCTTGGATCGTCACGGAGCTCTCCAACACGGAGGCTTCGGATTGGTCAATTTACAGCTCGAGGAAATGATCCCAGCACACGATTGGTTCGCGCCCGGAGCTTTCGCCGGCGGCGCTGGAGAGGAGACAGGCAAGGAGACAGCGGCCGGGGGTCGCAGCGGGAGCGGGGAAGCCTCTGCTTCTGCTTTGCTTCGGGGTGGTCCGCACTGCTCCCGCCGTGGGACCACGGACCAGACCCGGAGCAGGACGTTTCTTTCTTTCTTTCTTTTTAGGGGAGGGGGGTATGTCAGGGAGGGAGGGGAACGGACGGAATCCTGGGGGAACGTGAATCGGCGCATTTCTCATGCCAAGTGCGGAATAGTAATTGCACGTTCTTTTTTTAGTTGTCCCATCTGGTTACTTCATGTTTGAGTGAATGCTCAGTGTTGAACACGGTCTAGGGTGTTTGGAAGAAGGCCCTAATTTAGGGGTGAACATTTGAGTGCATTTTATTGGAGAACCCAGTGCCACCACTGTTTACCATGGAAGTTTTGAAGACTTGCCTCCTTAGAAGAAATGCTGGTGTCGCGGCCTGTTTCTGGAGAAGCAAAGCTGTACCCAAGTCTTTGATTAGGAGGATTAGTACTACCTCTCCAAGGAACAGTGTCATGCCCGCTTGGGTGATAGATAAATATGGGAAGAATGAAGTCCTTCGATTCACTGAGAATATGATGCTACCTGTCATCAACTATCCAAATGAAGTTATTATCAAGGTCCATGCTGCCAGTGTAAATCCTATAGATGTTAATATGAGAAGTAAGTTTTCCGAGATGGTTTTGGTTGGTTGCCTTGTTTTTAAAGTAAGAATTTTGCTAGGCATGCCGTTATTTTGTTCTTTTTTCTTTTCTTTTTTTCTTTTGGTCGGTCGTGGGGCTTGAACTCTGGGCCTGGGCGCTGGCCCTGTGCTCTTCACCTCAAGGCTAGCGCACTACCTACCACTTGAGCCTCGGCGCCACTTCCGGTTCTGAGTGGTTTATTGGAGATAAGAGTCTCCTGGTGTTTTCTGCCTCGGCTGGCTTTTAACCACGATCCTCAGATCTCAGCCTCCTGAGTGGATTACTGGCCAGAGCCTTCAACGCCCAGCTGTTTTGTTTGTTTTGTTTTGAGACAGAGCCTCCCTTTGTAGCCCAATCTGGCTTCCTGCTCAAATCATCCTGCTTTAGTGCTGGGATTACAGATGTGTATTACCACATTTGGCTAGGCATATGTGTGTGTGTGTGTGTGTGTGCGTGCGTGTGTGTGTACATATATATGTACACATATATATTACTTTATTTGACTACACTTTGACTGCATATATATATATATATATATATGTGTGTGTGTGTGTGTGTGTTTGTGTGTCACTTTCTATTTGCCTATACTTTTACTGACAGGAAGGAATCATTTAGGATTTTTTTTTTTTTTGTCGGTTGTGGGGCTTGAACTCTGGGCCTGGGAGCTGTCCTTCAGCTCTTCAACTCAAGGCGAGTGCTCTACCACTTGAGCTACAGCGCCACTTCCGGTTTTCTGGTGGTTTATTGGAGATTGGAGTCTCATGGTCTCTCCTGCCCGGGCTGGCTTTGAACCGCGATCCTCAGATCTCAGCCTCCTGAGTAGCTAGGATTACAGACGTGAGCCACCAGCGCCCGGCTCATTTAGGATTTTTATACCACTAAATATTTCTGAAAAATTTGAAATCTGAATGGCCTGAATATACTTTAATCTTTTACAAAATGTAAATTTGATTATTTGCCCATGTTTCTTCAAAAAGTAAATTGGGAATGGGAGAAGTCTACTGTGTCTGCTAGTCTATTGCTGATGTACTACTCTAAGCTTTTCATGGCAATCTTAGATCCATCACAGGTTTGAGAGGTTTTGTTGTTTCTGCATCAGTTCTGAATTTGCATTTTTGTTTTTTTGTTGGTCCTGGGGCTTGAACTCTTCAGCTCAACACGAGTGCTCTACAGCTTGAGCCACAGCCCACTTCTGGTTTTCTAGTGGTTTATTGGAGGTAAGAGTCTAACAGACTTTCCTGCCTGGGCTGGCTTTGATCCTCAGATTTAATTTGCATTTTTATAGTACCTATTTTCCTTGCTCTGCTATTGCTTACTGGAGGATTGAGCCTGAGTTCAGTGCCTGCCTACCAGTTGATCTAGTAGAGCTCACACAATTTCTTTTATTGATCCAATGAGCAAAGCAACAACACTTCTTCTCAATAGAATATGAGCACATTTTCTTCTAGTTCATCTTTTTTTTTTTTGTTCAAGCGGGTAAAATATACCTTTCTATTTCCCGTAGAAGTGTATGACTTATTTCAGCATTCAGGAGGCTGAAATCTGAGGATCACAGTTTGAAGCCAGCCTGGGCAGAAAAGTGTCCATGAGACCCTTGTCTCCAATTAACGACTCAAAAACAGGAAGTGGTGCTGTGGCTCAAGTGGTAGAGCACTAGCCTTGGGCACAAAATGCCTCAGGGACATCACCCAGGCCCTGAGGTCAAGCCCCACAACAGACACCCCCCAAAATACAAAACAAAACACACACAAAAACAACAAACAAAACAACTTTTCCTCTTTTGTTCCTTTCTAGGTTGCAAAAATATCTGATGGGTGGGCACTGACAAAAGCTTGAAGAGCTCTATATTCCTTAAATATATACAAGGATTATTATTATAGTGCAGAAAAGATTGATTTGTATTGGTGAAATACTTTAACTTTGGGGGAAAATGACAAAAATGCTGTTAGTCTTGCTGATGGGAACTCATCTATGTCTCCTGAAGAAATTGAAAAACCTCTTTTGGGGTGATTAAGGTCAGTGTTAATCACAGGGCAGTTAGCCTCTGTGTTATAAGCTGCTGTCTGTAGTTTCATTTAAGCATGGGTCACTGTTTTTAAGGGCTATTTGTACCTCAATGACAATTCTCATATATGATGAGAATTCATCTATGTATGATGAATTTGTTTTTCCATGTATGTATCCAATTATATAATCAAAAGATTAATGATAGAAAGAAACAGTTCATGGGCTTTATAGAGATGTGTTTGACTTCAACATTTCCCCCCACCTGAAGTGATGTAATACAGTGACAATCATTTTCTTTTCTCTTCTTTCCTTCTCTTTTCTTCCTCCATCCCTCTCTCCCTCCTTTCTTTCCTTCCTTCTTTCCTTCCTTTTCTCCCTTTTTCCTTCCTTCCTTCCTTCCTTCTTTGCTTCTTTCCTTTTTTCCTATCTTCTTCCTATCTTTTGGCTTCAAGACCTCTTTGCACTTAAAAATGGCTAGAATTTAGGTGAGCTATAGTTATATTATTAGAAAGCAAAACTAAAATGTTAAACTATTTCTTTGTTTTATCATAACTGATTAAAATTAAATCAGGAGAAAAAATATAAAATGACTGTGCAAAAAATGCATAATGATTGAGAGACGAGAACATATGTGATGTACTGAAACAGGTAATTGATAGAGCCTGAGTTTTACTATCAAAGAGGTTATAATGAAGCTAGGTACTGGTGGTGGCTTATCCCTGTAAATCCCAGGTTCTCAGGAGGCTGAGATTGGAAGGATCACAGTTATAGGCTAATTCAGGTTAAAAAAAAATTGCAAGATCCCATCTCAACAGAAAAACTGGGTGTGATGGCAAGTGCCTGTCATCCCAGCCACGTCAGAAGGTATAAATTAGAAGATCGTGGGCTAGACTGGCTGGGGCTGAAATACCATACTTATCTCAACAGTAACTGTAGCAAAAAAATGGACAGTCTTGGCTTAAGCAGTAGAGCATCAGCCTAGCAAGCACAAAGCCGTTCAAATGTCAGTAGCATTAAAAAAAAAAAGTTATAGTGAAAAAACTATTTTGTAAAATGAGAAAATTTAATGAAAGGGTAGCACTTTTATTTACAGCTTTACATATCTCTTTGCTGTCTACTTATTTTCATAAGTACTTCTGTATTCAATCTGTTGCCCAAAGATAGATTTTTGAGAAGGAAAGAACTTCTTGGACTCCTTGAAAAGACTAGGGCATAACAAACTCGAAGTTCTGGTTTAGAGAAATGCACATTCACTGCCATGAAGTTGGCTATAATTTGTTGGGAGGTATAGCTCGGTTGTATAGGACTTGCCTACCTTGCAGAAGATGGTAGGCTACATCCCTAGCACTTAAAAAAAGCAACATCCCTTCCCCACCCCCTCAAAAGTTGTTACATGGCTATAATACCAGCATTTGGGAGGTAGAGGCCAGAGAATTTAAAATTTCAGGCCACTTGGGCTACGTGGTGATCCTCATCTTAAAATACAAAAATTAAATATTGATTACATGACAGTGTTGTGGCTATTTTGAGTGAAATAATCCCAAAACAAATTAATTCAGTGTTAAAAGTATGTATTATAGCTTGTGATATTTCTATTGGATAGCACTGGACTAGACAATCTGAGAATAATTATATTGCACATTTATGTATTTTGGGGAAGAGGTTTAGAGGAAGACTTTGGAGTCTTAAAATGTTTGTGGTTAGAAGGCTCTATGAAAAGTGAATTGAGGGCTGGGAAGGTGGCTCAGGAGTAGAGCTCTTCCCTTGCATGCATGAGGCCCTGGGTTCGATTCCTCAGCACCACATAAGCAGAAAAAAAAAGCTGGAAGTGGCGCTGTGACTCAAGTTGTAGAGTGCTATCCTTGAGCTGAAGAGCTGAGGGACAGCACCCAGGTCCAGAGTTCAGGCCCCACGACTGGACCCCCCCCCCAAAAAAAAAAGAGTAAATTGAAAGCTGGGCAACCATGGCTCATGCCTGTAATCCTAACTACTGAGATCTGAGGATCAGTGTTCAAAGCCAGCCTGAGCAGGATAGTCCATGAGACTCTTATCTCCAATTAACCACCAGAAAACCAAAGTGGCACTGTGCTTAAGTGGTAGAGTTCTTGCCTTGAGCTGAAGAGCTCAGGGACAGCACCCAGGCCCAGAGTTCAAGGCGCGCGCGCACACACACACACACACACACA